ATATCTTCAAAATCTAAAAGGATAATAAATGAATATCACACAAAGGTAAATACAACTTCATTGTTTTGATTTAAAAAAACATACATAACTGAATAGGTCAATTTAGTTTATGGATCTGAATTACAAAAAGCAGACTTACCACAAACTGCCCCCAAAAGGGGCATTTATTGTCTGGATTTTTGTCACCCAGATTTAGTAGATACAGTTTAATAACAATATAAAACTCGTGTAGTTGCATTTGTGATCTGTGCTCAAGAATCACAACTTTATCTTACATAATGACCTTCCCAACTTTATCTTACATAATTCCCTCATTCTGGAATAAAAAATCTTGAAATCCATTCAGTAAGTTCACAAGAAATTCAACTGAAAATGGGAAGATCATTATGTAATGTAAAGCTGGAATTCTCAAGTACAGATCACACAATGCAACTCCATGAGTTATTTTAACATGCTAAAGAATTTTTAAGAGCTTCTCTCCCTCCCGTTTTATAGCAGGGTTGGACAACCTTTTGCTACGCATAGATCAAAGGCCATCGTTTGTCCATTTTACAGAATCAGAATATTGAGTACAGAATGCTATGGTAGTCTGGCATAAGCTATCAGTTCACTTTATTCATTCAGCATGTAATGCTTTTCTTATTTTCAGTTTGCTGTTTTTCTATGTTATTGGAAATAACTTCTATTTTTACTTTGTAGCATGCTATTATTTGGGCACTGATTATACCTGTCCCTCAACAGTGGCACAATGCCAGAATTGAACTATTTGGATCTTGAGCTATATTGAGCTATAGCACAAATTGAAGGATACACATGTACTCTGTGTACACTGCTGGTACGAAACAGAGGGATTTCCCAAGGTTTTCTGCTTAACAGACAATGCATTTGATGATAAATCTTTAAAATGTATGTATCCAATAAATAACCCCTGATCAATAATGGTCCTAGTGATTGGACATCATTTGCTTGATATTGTTGCAGGCTTAACATTTCCTCACATATGAAGTTCTTCTGATATGTTTTTACTTTCAGCTCCATTTCTAGTAAAGCCACTAAGAAATAACATTTTAAAAAACAGTCAGCAATGACTAAAATAAACATGCCTGATTTAAAATAAAATTGAACACTTACTATTAAAGAAATCTGCATGTACTGCCTTTTCATTAGCTGCTAGATCCATCAATAAACCTGTACTTCCTCCAGCCTGAAAAAAAATGTTAAATAATTATCCATAATAATTATTTAACTTTAAAGAATTTTAGTTTAGTTTCTAGTTGCTCCCCTAAATATAACACAATTTAGACAGAATTACCCCGATAATTGCTTATTACTATTATTGAATTAAGATATGAGGACTAACATTATAATGGCCTCCAACATTCGTGTAGCATTTCTTTCTCTTCCAATGTGTAGCATTTTTTTATCCTCTCAAAAATCTCACTTCTCTAAAAAACAGAGGCATCGTGGCAGAATGACAGATAAATATAAACAGATGAAAAACGACTCCCCAAATAATTTTGCCCCTTCGGTCACAAAAAAACAACAACCTTTCTCGCTCAACCAACTCTTTAAAACTTAAAACCCACTCTTGTGAAGCATCCAGTCTGCCCACCCTCCCTCGTTCAACCTCACCAACCAGACACCAGAAGTGGAAGATAGGAAAGGGCAAAACAAGGCTGCCTTAATTTACTGACAATATATACCAGTGTTTCTCAACCTTGACAATTTTAAGGCATGTGGACTTCAACTCCCAGAATTCCACAGCCAGCATTGCTGGCTGTGGAATTCTGGGAGTTGAAGTCCACATGCCTTAAAATTGTCAAGGTTGAGAAACACTGATATATACACAAGGGACCACGGGTCAGAACATACAGCGCCGCCCACTACCATCCAAGGACGTCGCGCAACCCCATTTCCGAGGACTGGGGACAAAATATCCCTAGTTGTCGGAATGCCTGTCCTCCTCCTCCTGCCGCCGCCGCCGCCTCACCTCGTCAAGGTCGACATAGGGCCCCGCACCCTCGGGAAACATCTCGTCCACCGCCGGCTTCATAGCTACCCTCGTTCCTTATAGCCCACCTACATCCGGCTCCGGAAGGAATCTGCTTCCGGCTGCTCTAGGAGCGCGGGAGGAGGCGATCTCTGTGGTGCTCTCAAGTTCTGGGGCGCCGAGGGAAGGACTGTGAAAACCTATCGGTTTTGGGCCTTTCTTTCGAGCAAACGAGCCAGGATGCTGCTGCTTGGTGGGACTTTTTTGGGTGCCACAAAAGCTTAGCAGCTTTGAATGACTGCATTCGCACAACCAGCATAATTCGGCCACTTGCATATTTAAGGTGTACCTTTAGCGCAGTGTTTCTCAACCTTGACAATTTTAAGGCATGTGGACTTCAACTCCCAGAATTCCACAGCCAGCATTGCTGGCTGTGGAATTCTGGGAGTTGAAGTCCACATGCCTTAAAATTGTCAAGGTTGAGAAACACTGCTAGCGTCTCCTTGCCCCGTTCCTAGATGGCTTATTTAACTCTTACAGGAAACACATCCTGATAGTGGAGCCTAAAAAAATACTCTTGTTTCCAGCATGCTGCCCAGACCGGCTGAAGTTGATCACGGATATTTTCCACTGCTAGCCCTGTAGCTACAAATTCAAAACAGTGAGCCTGTTTTCATGAAATTTCTCTTCACTTTTCTGTGCCAACTAGAACAATAATTTTGAAAATTAAGAGAACTAAGTCTAATATAAAAAAATTCACGGAAAATCATGCATATCTTGGGCTTAGATGGTTATAATCCTATCTCAATGTATATTAGATTATTTGGTCCCCCCCAACCCCCAGGAATAACAGAAATTGCACCTAGAAAAGGTGACCAAAGGACCTGTTGCCAGGAGTCAAGACTGATTTGAAGGCACAAAAAAGCAAATTTTACAGTTGGATCCAGGGTATCTATATACAGGTAGTCCTTGGTTAATGACTGGTTGTTTAGCAACTGTTCAAAGTTATGAAACCCCCCCCCCCAGGTACTTACAACCCTATTTTGAAGTTCCAGTGTCTACACACACACACCCATTACATGATCATATTTTTGGCACTTAGCAACTGCTTCACATTTATAGCCCATCATTTTTGCTGGTTTCTGGTGGTTTCTGCCAATGGATATAATGGATTGTAGTGATTTGCATAACAACCACTGCAAAAAAGGTCATAAATTCAGGTTTAATGACTCCCCATCACAATATACAACCACAATTCTGGGCTTAATTATGGTTGTAAGTGGATAACTACCTGTACTCCAACCATAAGCTGTATATGTAAAGCCTGACTAAAGAAAAACCAAAAGTACATAATTCAGCAGTTATTTTTTTTTATATTTCTTGATCACAGTTAAGTTTAGGTCCAAGTAGTAATATTTAAATAAACTCTGTATTAAAATGTACAAAGCTAGTAACAACCAGTGTTCCAGTAGTTCACTATACTCTTAGTGTACGTAATTTAAACTGAAAGTCAGGTTATACATTTCAAAAATCCTGGCTATATAGTTTGATGTGGTTATAGATTTGGTTGTCCAACTATTCAGTTTTTCACTGGGTGGTGTAACTCCAGGGCCGCAGATCTGATTTCTGCCAATCTTAATGTACAATATTAAATTTTGTGCTAATAGAGATTAGCAGAAACTGGGCCTTGGACCTGCATCTTTCAGTGAAAAATTGAATAGGCCTTCACGCTCGTCACTTTCATTTTTGTGTTTCACAAAAAACATAGTTTAGTAATACATGTTAAAATAATTTTAAAAGATTATTTAGAACTGAACATATGCTTCCCCTAAAATATTTATCTGTGATTCCTGCCCCAGTTTCATACAGTGAGCATTTCACACAGCTTAAGTTCCAGCCTAATTAACTTTTTTACTACTCAGATTATTCAACTTGATAGAAAACATCTGGATTTAGAAGACATGCTGATGCACATGGGAACTAAATTAGTTTTTTTTAAGTTTCTTATCTAGTTCTAATGAAATACCATATCTAGGACAAATTCTTTGCACTGTAGGACATAGGAGCTGTTTAAATGTCAAGATATATAACTTCATCCAGTTATTTGACATCTAGGAGCAGTAGTGAGCTTGACATAAAAAGCCAAATTCAAAAGTCACATTCAAGTACCGTATATGTGTAATACAGTGGTTCCCAACCAGGGGTGCTCGCACCCCCTGGGGGTGTGAGACGATATTCCAGGGGGTGCGAAAACTTGCTTTTTCAAAATTATAGTATATATGCATAATTCGTTGCTGTTATTTCGAACTTTTATAAGGGGTGTGAGAATATATCAGAAGCATTCTAGGGGTGCGGGGTATAGAAAAGGTTGGGAACCTCTGGTGTAATATATATTACTTATATACCTACACTTAAGTTGCTACATTTTTAAGAAGCTACTCTGAATTGATGAAGTAATTTTCAACTAGATTTAAACAAGCTTTTTTGACCACCAATGATATTTCCTTGAGAACATTTTGCTCAGTCTTTGTTATGTGCACTAATTTATTTATTACTAATTATGGATACTTTTTACTGAAATCCAAAAGCATTAATATTTTGATCATCTACTTGAAGCCTTGATAATATATACGGTAAGTCATTATTTCCTAAACAGCCAAAAGTGCCAATAAACTTTTCAGTTTGTAATGATGGTTGTCTCATGTTAGAAGGTAAGTCTTCATCCTGGTTCATCCAAGCCGGGAATAAATAAGCAAACATGGCGACTGCTTTGGGAAGAAGGTTACAGTTTATTGCAGAAGACAGATAAGCAGCAGAGGAGAAGAAAAAAGAGAGTGAGCACATGGGCAGGAGGTCTTTTTATACCCCCCTCCCAGCCCTGCTTGGGATAGTTTCCTGTTCCTGTGGCATGAACTTTGAAGCTATTTCTGAGTGTTTTTCTAGGCCTTGATATCTGTGGTTTAATTCCATTATCATATCCTGCTTCCCAGGTGATGGGGCTAATGACTCTTAAGAGCTTCTTTTGTCTTGAGATCCCTGGCTCCAAACTTTCTGATGGTTCCACATCTGCATATGTATAAGACTAACTACTGCCCTGGGCAAAGAGATGAGGCCAGGTTTGGTTTCTGCTTTTCAGAAAATGCTTTTAAAAATCCTTTTGGTGAA